CCCTTATTGGGAAATTGACTCTTTAAGTGAATAGTTGAATCTCCTCTAGGACCTTAGTTGGTGTAGTATGTGGACCAGGTTGAGGCATACCGACTACAAGCAGCCATAGTATAAGGGTCGAGTCAACCTACACTAATTACAAACAACCAATTGAGTAAAGTATAAAGTTGAAGACTCAGTACCTAACTAAGTATTGGGGGTATAGTATTTGGAGGGTAGTTGGTGGGTTAATCTCATAGGAGGCTTAGTTATGCACTTATGCTAGCTAATATTGTAGTAGACTCATATCCAAGTTGTTCTATCCTAACAAGAATACTAGACTTCTTAGTTTAAGTGACGACATTTGAGAAAATCATGTTGTAGGGATTAATATCCCATTTGGTTGTTGATCTAGATGGTGTAATTAAAAAGATTGGGTTGTTGGTTCGGTATGGTTAAGTTACTTAGACTGTTCGTTCTTGTTGTAAGAGATCCTTGTAGTTAAAATGTGTGACGACGCATTAGTTTATAGTTGTACATATGTTGTGATGATTGAGATGTGTTTTTCATGTTTTGTTGTATATGTTGAATCTTTGAACTCTAACTTATTCTTGCTTATATGTTCTATGTGATTAGACTATTATGATCATACTTGATATGAGAGCAAAGTAGGAATAGGTCTGAAGTGTTGTACAGTGGGGACCATTGGTGGATGGTGGAGTTGATATCTTTTGGTGCTACTATTGTGCAGCTTTTGTATAAATGTTACTTGATCGACAATTTAGGTTGTATATTAGACATTTACTGGATTACTATATTTGTACAATTGTCTTACACTTATATGCATATTATATAGTACATATATATCCAGGTATTTCTAGATATATAATTCTTAGTTATTTTCTACTGCTAGTTGATAAGTTGTTTAATGTAGGAATTTATGTCTCATCCCCATACCTGACGGGTATGGAATTTATGTCTCATTCCCATCCTTGTTAGGTATCAAGAATTACAAAATTACATTAATTAAGATTCATTTGGCATAAGTTTAAAGTAGAGTAAAAATTACATAAATGTTAATTAAATTCTAAAAAATAAATGAATTAAGATTGTAGAATTTTAAAGTGGGTACTGTACAAGGCAGATAAGTATATATCTATTCATGTCCCTATACCCGGTTCAATAAATCGGAAATTACCCATATTCGTATTGGTCAAACTAGGTATTCCTTGTCAAAGTCTGACAGGTTCAGACATTACCAACGGGTACGTGTTTACTAGCGATCCCTAGATGTAATAGTTGGTATAAATTTACACCGATGTCGTTTGAATCTTCCTCTCTCTCTCTCTCTCTCTCTCTCTCACACACACACACACACATATATATATATATATATATATATGGGTGTGTCTGTGTGCGGGGGGGGTGTGCGGGAGAGGATGACCAAGTGAGAATATTTGTTAATATGTGAACAACTAATAACAATTCTTAAATTAAAATAAACAGATTAAAATATATCTTATGAATAAAGTTATCACGTACTTTCACCATTGTGGTTGTTTCTATCGTTATTGTTATCACTATTACCATTGTAGTTTTTACCTCTACCACCACACCCTCATTATAGCCACATCACCATCACTATTTCATCATTGATTCCACCACTATTATCGTTGTCACCGCCAACAAAGCTACCACCATCATCATTGGTGATGATGGTAACAGTGACGACGATAGTGACTATAACCGCCTAGTCACGTGAATATTACTTCCAATATTATACGTATATAATAATTATGTACATTATAGTATTAATATTATTAAAGAAAATTTTATAAACTTGCTTACGTATAACACTTTATATTTGCATCATATATTAAAAAAAAATATTTACAATAATGTACATACTTTTAAACTACTTATTTCTTACGCTAAATTTATAATGTTTACATATCGAGTTCATACATGTTCACTATAGGATTAACATGATTCGTTGGAGGTAAATAAAAAGTGACTACTATCTGGCCATCTATGATAACGGGATTTTGTTAAGTTGGTTAAAATTCAAAAGTTGATAATCCTATCCCCTGAAATGTAACGGCATTTGCAAACGCGTCCATACCCCAACTGGTACCCGGAAAAACTGTTGGCATATGCGTTTCATTTTGAAAAACTGTTTTTGCAACAGTAAACTCGGTTGGAACAGCCACGTAATAGGAAACAACGTGCTTCCAATTTTCACGTTGCTTTCCTGATCCCTTTACTTGCTACGATTAACATATAATGTATGTGGTCCATTTTTCAACCTATTATCAAATAACTTGCGGATATGGTACCGTGATTCCCGCACGTTTTTCTCCAACGTTCAAAGAGGCTCTACGATGGATTAGAGCTCTATAAAATTGAACATGTATCTCTGTTTTGGGTCCCTGAGCCTACTCTCCTCTTCAGTATACTACACCATCACGTATAGAGAGTAAGGGTTCAGAAACCTGAAGGAGCAAGCGAACAACAATGGCTGGAGGGTGGTCCTTTAATTTCCGCAATTATGAGAATGATCTGAACGTGTTTGCTTTTGTTTTTGCCATCTTTAGATCTTTAGAATATTAGTTCTTTCATTTGGTATCAGAGCACGTTGTTTCCTCTGCCTTGTTTTGTATCGGGTTTTTGGGTATCTCTTTTCAACCCCATAATTGTTTCTAAAACTGGAGAGGGAGTAGAGGATGATTTTTCTACCGTTTCTGTAATTAAAATGGTGTTTTTCGATGTTCAAAACGTGGAGAAATGGTTGGGTTTTCATTTCGGGTTCGCGGGTCACAAACGGGTACAAATGACCCGTTTGAAGGTTGAAGACGAGTGAAACGCAATGTGTTTTCGCGTTTTGTTTGTTTGTTTGCTATTGACAGGCATAGTTTTTATTTTTAAATTGTATCATACTTATGAGAAAAAGCGCTTGGTGGAGTGGTTTGTTCACTTGGGATATTACTGTCATGGCATTGGTTCGAATCCTGTTGGTGTCTTGCATGTTTTGATTTCCCTTTATTTTTATATATGATGAGTCACGCGCATGCTTTGTACGTATGTGATTGTTTTGATTCCCGTTAATTACGTGTTGCATGCTTCACGTGATCAAATGAATTTCTGGTTTCTTGCATGTTGTTTCTATAATTACGTGGTTCCCGTTTTGATTTCTCGCATGTTTTCGTAATTACGTGATTGCATGCTTCGTACGT